AAAAAACGATTATCGTTTAGATGAATTGTTGATTATTTTCATCATCATCATTTCAATTTTCATTTTCTCGGTTTTCTTGCTTTTGCTTTTGCTTTTGCCATTGTAGTCTATTCAATCTCATGTCAATTTTATTCGGTCATCATTGAAATCCGCCTTTTTTTCGCTTTGTTATATGGAACACAACACATTTGACATAGATTCTATGATTCTTTTGGAAAAATAAAAGACTTGTGATTGCATGATGATAATGGTGATGGTTGGTTGGTTGGTGGTAATGATCATTATTTTCAACCAAAAAAATTCAGGTCATTGAACTATGTTCCACAAATGTCGGTCATTTTGTCTGAACTGTATTTCTTCTTGACTAAAGTTGCTATTATTCTGGCCTTTTTTTCATAATCAATTTTTGATTTGTCAATCAAAAAAAGAAAAGAATGGAAAAAAATATGATTCTTTTTCTGCTGTTGTTTGGTTGTTTCACTTTTACTTTCAAAAAATCATTAATCAGACAATAATAATTATGAGGATTTTGAATTATGGTTTTTCCTTGTTTTTCAGTTGTTATCGTTTTTCTTTCGTTTGAAAAACTTTATGATAGAATTTTGTAACAAACGAACGAAACGAATTATTTCATTTCAAATTACCCAACACACAAATCAATCATTACCATTACCATCATTAGTCATAAATAAACAAGCGAAAAAAAAGTTGAATTATAATAACATTTCATTCATTCCATTCAATTCCATTCACTTGTAATTATGATTAAATTAGTTTTGTATGATTTATTGCCATTTTATGTTTTGGAAAAAAAACCGGATCCCATTCATATATAAAGTGTTTTGGCGGTGTTTTTTTTTTCTCGATTCATTTGAATATTTTTGACACTATTCAAACCAATCAAACCGAACCAAACCAAACCAACTCATTCAAATGATTGTAAAAAAAAAGAGCAGAAAGTTGGTAGGAAATAATGGAGTGGAGGGGGAAGAATATTGCTAAGATTTATTGTTTGGTGTTGGTGGCCATTATTTTCAGCTTCGTGTTCGTGTGTGTGTTTGTGTTTCTTTTCCCCCTCCATTTACATTAAACCAGAAAAAAAAATCCATAAAAACCATCAAAATGTTCATTGAGAGATTTATACATATGGTATGTATGGTGCCATACATTAATTATGATAAGATTTTTTTATTATCATCATTATTACACTCTCTCTACACACACACAACCAACCATATCATGTTTTTCTTTCCCTTTAAATTCATTCAATAGGAAATGACATTTTCTTCTTATTCTTGTCTTGATGATGATGATCAGGAATTCTTTGCTTCAGAATTTCAAAACCCAAAACCAAAACAAAAAAAAAAACATCTTAATTGAATGTCGAATCATAATGATGATAATAGATTTAGTTTTTTTCTAGAAAATTATCAAATGAATGAAACCAAACCGAATCGAAACCGAACAAACGATGATGATGATGATGAAAAATCTATTAATGAATTATGAATGGGAAAAAATCAAATAAAAGCAATAAGAAATGAATGTCGGATAGTATTTTTGGACACAAACACACACATACGAATATAATGAATGTTTTACAACTTATTTTTAATGAATAATGAAATTAAATGACAATGTGATTTTCATTTCGTTTCTTCTTCTTGTTATTCTTATTTTACTTACCGACTTTACTTACTTACTGACTGACTTACAAATGATTAAATGTTATTATTATTCATTTTCTCTTCTCTTCTTTCATTTCATTTTCTTATCTTTTTCTTTCTTTCTTTCTTTTATTTCCATTTTTCCTTATTTTCATCGTTTCCATCATTCATTTTCATCTGTACGATTCATTCATACAACAAAGGATATGGTCATTCAACACCAGCAACGTAAGTAAATCAATAACTAAAAACTAAAAAAAAGACAATGATTTTTATCAGAAAAGAATATTCTTCTTCTTCTTCTTCTTTTTCTTGTATATATTTTGAACTTATCCAAAAAAACATTCAAACTGACATTTTTTTTTAATATGTGGGGCGTATAATTATTCGTTGACTGCCTAAATGAATGTGATATGATGATGCGATGATGATGATGATGATATATCACATCGATGAAAGTTTTTTTTTTCTCATATAAGATTTATATAGAAGGAAAGATAGCGAACAAAAAAAAAAAAATGGATCGAATAACACAGTAAAAAATGTATATCATTGATATATGAGTGTGTGTGTGTATTGGTGTGTACACTTCTTTTTTTTCTGATTGAATTTATTTTC